AGGCCGCTCGCAGCTAAAGGTGCTAACAGAACAAACCGCGCAAAGACATTTCAACCTCTGCCGATTACTCAACTATATATTTACAGAAAACACTTCTGTCCTTTTACTTTAATATAGAACGAAAAATAAAAAAAGAGATCAACCCGAAAAGGAACATGAGGCGTGTTCAAGACAAATTCTCTACAAGGCGGGTCAGAGGCGCAGATACACTGTACCGGCTGACTAATGCGCAAACCCAACATACCAAAGTGATGAAGCCCGTGTGACACACTGTCAGAAAGTACAAGCACGTGACCGGAAAAGTCGTGTTTTCGTCAATAATTCCCTCGGTTAGCAGCTCTATCCCACAAACGGCTCGGACTGCAGAAATGTCCAAAAGTAACTGGATTGTTAAACTCCGTTAGAATGATTCATGCAAACGACTGTTTGTACCTCAACATCTGGCTCAACATCTGTGCCTCGACCGATCAAAATTGCTCGTGTTGTTACGGAGTATCATCTTGTTTTTATTCCCTTGAACAAAACTGGAGGAACTTTTTCCAAAATACCATAAAAGTGTGCAGCATTCCCCAATAAAGGAATACTTGCCTACGAGTTTAACTGCACAAATCGATGCCAAATGGTTTTGATCATCAAACAAGTAGAGCTTTTAATTGAGAATAAACACCAGGGACTGAGAACTGGAGTCCATCACACTACAATACAGCTTTGCACTGTGACAAATCCTCTCGGGCTAGTGGAACAGAAGCTAGCCAAAGAGTTCTTCTAGCGGACTCGTCTGAGATATCTGAGAACAAGGTGGTCAATCGGCGCTTTATAGTGCGTCCTAAGTTATCTCAAAGCGCTTAATTAATTCTTTCAACAAGGAAAGCGAAGTAAAAACACACCGGCGGGGGATTTAAGGCAATCCGCAATGCTCCATAATTAATACTCTTTTGGTTGCCACGCCACCGGGCAACACATTACCGAGACCATCTCTCCACTCATATGTCATCACAACGTGCCCTTGAGCCACACACTTAACCACCAACGTCTAGTTAAATAAAAGGATGGGTGTAACTTTGGAAAACAGCGCTTCAACGCTGACACGCATACTCAGCGGGATAATCCAGGAAATCTGCATACTCTAAACATGGGATTAAAGCTCTTGAGCTATGAAGGCAGCGGGATGAAGAGTTGGTGTTAATATAGAGAGCGATACGGTTGTTCGGGGAGTCTTATTGGTAATCTCGTTACACTGCACCAGCTCGCTGTGAAAACAATCGGAGAATCAGAGGAGTCTGGTCTTGTTCGTCACCAACAGATTGCCTGGGGTGAGGTGAAGGAATACAGTTTAAATTATGATGTATTAAAAATACTCTGTTGTGTAAGTACGTATGATAGACAGGATTTCTTTTTTTTCTTTTTTTGTCCAATGCCAACACAATTTTCCTATCAGGCCTTTTGAAAATGGAAAAGCAACAATATTGATATTTGCTTCCATCAGTGGGAATTTCTTTTTACTACTTTGTCTGTTTGCGATGGTTAATTTCTCCTCATGTCACCAGTTAACATATAATAGTGCCTCGTTGCATTTCAGTAGAACTTAGATACACTAATCTTTGTTCACGTATAATTCAAAGACGGTAATAATTAAGTTACTCGACTGTCTTTGACGCTTTGCTACGGACGCATTTTGAGTACAAAGTATTAAGAGCCAGAACTCAATGAGAGTTTTCATTGAAACCAGAATTGCTCTTATTATTCTGGGATTTCATTCTGGTGGAAGTGTTTGAATTGGATTCAAGTAACATTTTGGTCTAAACACTCAGTCTTTGGACTTCTTTTGGGTTGTGTTTTTGCATTAAATTGGCCACACACAGCAGAGCAGCCGTCATATGAAGAAAAACAACACGCAGGACCCCAAAATGCTCCCCAATGACAGTGTTTGCTGAGCTTTGGCTCAGCAAACACTGTCAAACACTCAACGTCAGGTGGAGATTAAAAGAAAAAAAAAAACACACAACAACAACAACGTGGTGGAGGAAAGAAACAGAACGAGACGAGAGAGGAAAAAAAGAAAAAGAAATATCTGGCACGAGGCAGACTGTACATACTGTACCCTCAGTGGTGGCAAGCAGCCCAGACTGGCGGGGCGCCAAGTCCTCCGTACAACAAGCACAGACAGACAGACAGGGGGACAGACAGACAGACAGGGAGAGACAGACAGACAGCCAGGAGGGAGGAGGAGGCGGCGGCGGCTGCAGCGTCTGAAACGCTCAACATCCACGACGCGCTGCGGATATCAAAAAGCTTCTCCACTCTCTCGCTTCATCTCCCCAATATTCCGCCTCCTCTGAAGCGAGCTGAAGGATGATGGCGGCGGAGGGGGAGGGGGAGAGGAACGGGGGTGTGGGAGCTCAGGTTGAGGGTTTTGGGACTCGGGGAAGTGTCATCATTACAGAGGGAGAGAGAGCGACACGATAACAAAAAATGAAAAGGGAGACGCGGGCGTCAGCCCGAGAAAAGCCTTGAAAGTCAAACGGTGGAGGTGGAAAAAAAAAAAAAAAAAAGAAGTGCAACAACTAAGAGAGACAACAAAAACTATCAAAGACGCGCCGTCTCTTCCCTAACTGTCGCCCGCCTTGACAGAAGCGCTTGTCTCGCCTTTTACGCCCGACCAAAGCGGCTGTGGATCCACACTGATGTGTGTAACCAGTGCAGGTTGATGTCGGGCGCCAACGCGGCCCCGCTCGGAAAGAGTAAGAAAGAAAAAAAAAGAAAAAAAAGAAAGAAGAGAAAGTTTGTGCACTTGCCTGCCTCTGTAGCTAAAAATACACCGGCCACATCTTCCGCCCGGCTGCCTTTCTCAGGGTGGAGAATGTGGTTCTTCCTCGAGTTCTCGGTGTGCTCTTTTTCCATTTGATCTGCTATCAGCAGAGTTTTTCGCCTCGTACAAATGGGTGCAAAGCGAGTTATCGCAAACCTGTTGATATCGCAGAAGATCTACTTCTCGGGGCGGAAAATGACTCGGATGATAATTACCTCGGTGTGGTTTAAGCCAACACCACCCGCAGGACTGCGTCCTAAACCCTAGTATCACTTTGTAGCCATAGTAAGTGATCATGACCCGTGTGCCCGACACCTTTTTCCTTCTCTCCAAACCAATTCTAAAACTTCTTCTCCAAGCATTTTGGTCCATCACTCTTAAAGTGATTGTCAACTTTGTGCTTGATCGTCATCTGTATTTGTATGAACGACCGGATACAAATATTCTGGAAAATGGAAAAACAAAGAGGCCTGTTGAGGCCAAATATTTCCGTTACACTCCTGGCTGCTACTAATATCATTACTACAACCTCCACTATTGTCATTTGTACGCCAGAGCGTGGCTCTGTAAGGTGAATCTCCACTGGAGCATGCATAGAGACACACACACACACACACACACACACACACACACACACACACACGCCAGGAAGAGGCCACATGAGTCAGGATTACCTCGACTCAGCTTCCACTTCGTCATAACTCATGACTTAAAGACAACGTTGGCAAACGACTCGCACGAGATGATGTTGCACAAAATGGGAGCCAGCTGCAGGTCAGAGGCTTAACGGCCGGCGCACAACAGGGACCACACGCGCGCACACACACGCGCGCACACACACACGTTCTGCAAAACGGCGTGTTCCCCGTTCTCTCTCTGCTTCGACGACCGAGCGTGCGTCTGCAGCAGGCGCTGTGGAGATGGGGGTGTGGGGGGTGGCGGGGGGGCGTAATTGTAAAATAAACAGTGAATATTTCCTCTGAGCAACTTTTGTTTTTGACACGCTGAGTCGTCTGTTGAGGCAATTCTCCGGCGCAGCGTGAGTTTGTCATTCATCTCTGTCACAATAGCGCGCCGGTGTCGGCATCCATCTCGGTCGTTGTTCAACTTTTTGCGTGACACGAACAAACAAGTGATCCGGGCAATTATCGTTTTCTACCCAGTGGGAGGGCTGTGGGGGAGGTGGGTGGGGGGACGCGCGTGTGTGTGTGTGTGTGTATCCCCCAACATCAACACCAACAATGGCAAGCAGACGAATTAGACCACTCACGGCGTTTCATTGGAAAACACGTGTGGTACAGAACGGAGGGCTCAATGTCTGGGCCAAAGTCAACACGTGGATTTGGGGTTTGCAGAGAGTTTGTGTGTGTTCATGCGCGCTTTGTGTGCAGGAGGGGTTTTCCTCAGAGGTCCCATGTCTTTTTAACAGCGCCTCAATAAACCATCTGCACTTAGGCCCTTCGGAGCGGAGAGCTCTTTGCTGCCTATAAAAGACGGCTCATGCCATTAAACCAGTGCAGCGCTAAGTAGGCTCCCGGCACAGGGGCCGATGGGGCGGGGCATGTGTTTGGGGGCGGGGCGTGTGTCGAACTGGACCAATCGATGAGTCTTGTGCTCTTGCTGCCTTTAAGACCTCTAATGTCGCGGAGGTGCAGGGTGACAGGATGATGATGTGCAGGCAGCCTTTCGCTTGAGCTGCGCAGCTTTATTGGGCTAGACTAAACTCACTGAGTTATTCTCCACATTCGCACGTTTAAAGCCATTATTTGTATATTTGTAAAAGGGCTAAGGGGGGGGGGCATATATGCAAGAGAAGACAAGACTGAACAACTAATGATGTTAAATACTGATAGTTTAATACAATGTTGGTAGTGGTTGAGTTCAGTCCTCGCTTCAGGGTACGAGATAAATCTCAAAGAAAAACACATTCTTGTCTCCCTACAAAAAGAGCCACGCTAATATTTTTTCATCTCTAGCGCATTTATTTGAAATCACATATTATTAGCCTTTGCTATTTTATTCAGCAGTGATACTGCATGTGATGCTGAAATGTAACAGCAGTGATTACAGCTCTGTTGGAACAAACAAACACCGTTTACCCGACAAGCAGCAATGAAAACAGGACGTACCGCTAGCTGAACGGTGATCACAGACCACAGTTGTTGTTTTGGGGTTGGTTTGATTTCCTTACCTGAATGAGACAGCAAATGCATCCGTAGACGGAGACTGTCCAGGAAGCTCTTTCCGCACAGCTCACAGCCGTAGGTCTTCATTCCACTGTGCATCTTCCTGTTGACGAAGAGCAGAACCAACATTTCAACGTCTGGATTCTGTCCCACTCGTAAATAAAAGGACTTTTGGAAAAACAAAAAGATTCAGCTTTTCAGATTGTGTGCAACTCCTCACTCCATCAATCGCCGCGCGTCAGCACTTATTAACCATCAGTATTCGGCGGGGAGCAGCCGACCATGACCTGGTGGCGTAAATCTCAAGATGCTGTTCAAGCAGACGCACTATCAAGCAACGACCTCTCAAGTGCTGCAGATGGGCAAGGAGCCCATAAAGCCAAATATAATGATTTACTCAGACAAACACACAGGCAGCTACTTAAGTGTTATGAACCATTAATGGGCAGGTTTTTACTACCGCTCGCTAATCTGCGAGGTGATGCACAGCTTAAAGCAACATCTGATCCGCAATGACTTTTTGACCTTTTTTGGGCCTGATAGACGGTCATTACACAAGGTCAGACAAGACCAAGGTTCAATATTTGATTATGTGGGAAAGGCCTTGAAGCTTAGGTTAGCAAATAGCATCTGACAACACAAGGTCTGGCCCAACGACTCGCTCGGTGACGAAATCCTCAAAGACCCCACGGCTCGGCACAAAGCATATCATTCTTGAGAGATATCTGAAAGTGCTCTAAAGCAATTAAGGTGACACGAATTGCCAAACAACTGCCACGGCGCCTTAAGCCTCCCGAGAACTTCTAATATGTTGCCTTGAGTAAAGGTTCACAAAAGACACGCACCCGATACCAAAGATTTCTTTTTCATGAGAGAGACGCTCCTTTTTGATTATAATGTTGTGGTCAGTTTAAATCAAGATTTGGTTTGACTGGCATGTTTTTTAAATTGAGAAATTGAGAGCGCAAATACTAATACTTGGGTTACATTTTGGTCCTGCAAGATTACAACCAAATCAAATAGAAAATCAACAGCTAGCCAGAGAATGTTATGCTTTACTGTCCAAAGTATGATAATCAGACATTTTCTTTAATAAGTGCTGCAAACTAAATTCTATTGTATCCACACAGCTACCGATGGCTGAGCAGGTGGTTAAAAGCAAACAGTACCAACGGGACAAAAACGATGCTGAAAGAGTTAAAAGTGCCTGAATATCTCAGGGGAACAAAATTGACAGAGAAAATGTAACTCTTTAGTTTCCGTGCACATTTCGTATTTTTGTATTCATTATCAATATTTGAAAATGTATTTGTAGAGTCCCAATCCCCATTCCAAACGTAGGGTTGTTAATGCTCCATTACTGTTGTTTGCCAACCAACATAAAAACAACGAGAAAAAGAATAATCGGTCCTTTTTTGCATAACGGTAAACACGATAATGAAAAGTAGGTAGAATAAAAAAAAAAAAGAAATAATCTAAATTTGCACAGGATATGTGCCCGATACTATTCTGAGTACATCCTTCTGGCGTCGAGCGGGAGCATCTCATCGTCTCTGCCGACGAGTCAGGTGGCGCGCTGATCAGCCGAGTGCATTCTCGGGGAAACAATGCCCTTGATAAGAGCTCCGCTCGGCTCGGGCAAGATGACAGACATCCATCTTGGCGTCTCTCGAAGCAGCCGCAGAGGAGGAGGAGGAGGAGGAGGTGGTGGTGGTGGTGCCACTTTCCCAAAACATGACTGATTGATGTCAGATGTCGAATGCAAATTGATTTACAGCTCTCTCTTTTGTGCCCCGAGTGGGGTGGCAGAGAGACAGAGCGGGGACGAGAGCGAGACAGACGGAGAGAGATTACAGCAGGTCTTAACGGCGGTGGCTGCGGGAGTTATTAAGTAACGGTGTCTGGTTTGACTTTAGAGACTATTAATTGCTGCAAAACATCCTTGAAACATGACAGGAGCAGCGGTTTGAAAAAAAGGGGGGGTTGAATAGGGGTTGATAGGGATTTTAGTAGCTTGAATCTGTGGAGGGAGCGTGGAAAGTAAAAGGCAGAATGACAGCCCTCCGGCAAGAAGAGTGATTAAAAGGCTCTATAAATGCCAAATGCACCCAGAAGGGAAAGAAGACACTTGAAAAGCCAAAACAGGGAGCGAAAGGGGCGCAGAGGGACGGGAGCGACACAACCGAGAATGGAAACGATACGAGGTATCCGTCTGTGACAGTCAGCGCAGGAGTTATAAAGGATATTGACTCTGATGAAAACTTTTGCAGTTTTTCCCAGACTGCCCTCTTTTTGTTTTTCCTCTCGACGCCCTGGGGGCCAAAATGAGGAGGTCGGCGCCAGTGTTTGATGATATTATGAATAACGGTGCGGAGGAAAGGCAGTCGCACGCTCGCTCGCCACCCGTCTGCTCCTCCTCGGCATCCTTCTGTCTCGCTGCCATGTCATTTTTGCCGACAGAAATTCAGTAACGAAAAAAAAACAAATTGGACAAAGGAATGCAGCCAGATTTTCTCCCTTTCAGGATCCCAGGTGATGTCCCGCTTTTACTCAAACAAGCCTTAAAGCACCACACAACACACGCGGAGCACAAAGCCTTTCAAAGGCCTTTTGTGTCCCTCCTCAATCTGACCATTGTGCCCCCCAGACAGAGCACTGATACGGTATGGATGGACTTATTAAGGCCACCAGATGTGGAAGCGACGCCAAGTATTTTCCCCGTAAATGTAGCGCTGATGAGCAGTGTGTGTGTGTGTGTGTGTGTGTGTGTCCCTAACTGCCAAAGCCGGCGCTACCCACGAAAACAGCACATTACTGGATGTTCAAACACAATGGTAACAGCACCTGATCGCGAAATTCAGTCCATCAAAGGGAAGGTTTGGGACTCAGCCTCTGCTATTGAAACACTAATGGAGCTCCTCCTGCACACAATGGGTGGCCAGATCCAACTGTACCTGTAAGCAGACGTGTGCCTGACCTCCGGTCTGGAGACTGGAGAGTAAGCGACCTCGCCACTCAGGAAACGGAGTCAATAACAGACGGATGAAAGGTGCGCACGCACACACGGACCCACGGGACGCCTGGTGTGCACGAGCGGAGCTGATCGCACACTGAATTTCAGCTTTCACAAGATTTTGTGATACATAAAAAACATAATCGGCCTAGTTTAGTGATTTAGCTCGGCTAGACCTCTCCACACGCACACACACAGACACACACACGCTCAAATCCCGTTGTAACTATCTGCTTTCATGTTGTGCTTCTGAAATAGATGACGGAGTGTGTGTGTGTGTGTGTGTGTGTGTGTGGTGGGTGGGAGCGTGATTTGAAACAGACTGACTGCAGCCATTAAGGAAGTTCACATAAAACTCTCTCAGGCCATTTACTCAGTTAATAATCGACTTTGTCCAACAGTCACTTTTGACAACGGCAATAAAATTTAAATTTATGTCCCCAAAACATATGCTGATCACCTCGTGCGGTGGGCTTCCTCGTAAAATCCAGCCTATACCGAGGCCAGTCTGAATGCAAGTGTGTGTGTGTTATTGGCCTGGGTTATTGAGCCGTAACAGCTTGCCTCGTGTAATTCGGAACTTTTTTTTTTGCCTGTTTTGCGGCTGGACTGGGCCGGCCATATATCATAACCAGCACTGCATTTTGAGAAATAAAGACCTAAGCTACCCACCTGCTCTTACCTTATTTTTTATATTTCTAATACAACGCCGTCAGAAAAAGTCTAAGCTGAGCTACCGATTCTACACAGTGCAACAAAGAAAATAACCATAAAATAAGTTATTCAAGATGCCTCCGGATTCGATATGATCACACTTTGACAAAGTGCTGGCAAACCTCTCTGCATATTAAGGCTAAACGTTAGTGCTAGGTTCAAGAGCTCTACCGCGCACGGACGCAGATTGGAGGCGGCGTCCCATGAACCCTTTTACAATAACAATATATAATAATTAATATACAATAATAAGTCGAGTTACCATAACGAAACTGGCCGCTATTTTGCCTCAAAACACGGCGCTCTTCCTGATGGCCGATGGCCCTACGCTGGGAATGAAGGAAAATTGCTTCTAGAACGTAGTGGTTCTTCCTCTACGACGCTTTATTAATTAGACTGAATCCACAACGCTACAAAACGCAGATAAACATTTCACTTCCTGCTGTATAAAAGTGGGCTGAGGGTCTAGTTGCTCTTTAAATTAAGTGACTGATATTGTTGTTGATATTGTCTTCCGCTCACACCACCATTTCATGTAATCAAACTCTTTAGAAAGAACAACAGCCGTGCGGAGCCATGCTTCATGAATTGCACTTATTTCCCATTGCTAGCCTAACATCCATTTCTTCCCCAGCAGCAGAGTGTTGTTCTCCACCCTCATCCATCCTTTCATCTTTTATTTATCCATTTTTTTTTCTCCATCCTCCGTTTGTGAAGGGAGCTATAAAACAACTTGAAACGGCGTTCGTGAATGAAAGCTTTGGAGAGGGAGGAATGGGGGGAGGGGGGGTTACGATAGAGAGAAGAAAACACTAAAAGATTAAGGGAGGCGATTGATACGACGTGGTAAATTGAAGAAAGGCTGTGTGTGTGTGTGTGTGTGTGTGTCTCTCTGTTTGTTCATTAGCTGTGTCGGTCAGAGGAAAATAACTGCTAATTGGAGGAAAAAGGGACTGTGAATAGAGTTCAGACCCAAGTAACAAAGGGGTGGAGAGCAACTCGTGGGCATCCGAGACATTTGGTGACAATACAAAGGCTTGTCAAGCAAATTAACTTTATATCTCACATTATCAACTAGATTCAACTTTTGAACCGGCTTTTAACTCGACGTTTCTCTCCACGTTGCCGTCCGTGTTTTCTCCTCAGAAGATGATTAAAAATGTTAAATACGGTAGAATACCGTTATTTCATCAAGGGTGCGTGTGAGGCTGGAAGCATTCACGCTAATGAGTCAGGGAGAGAAAAGGACGCAGAACGCATCAAAAACCCGGAGCGCGTGTCGCCGGGGCATGTGAGCGGAGAACTTGTGCTCCTCGCCCACAGAGCTGCTCATTCCCTCAGCTCCATATCGCTCGCTCTGATAAAAGGAAACAAGC